TTTGCACGGTCGTAAGCAAGCAAGCACGCAAGCACGCAAGCAAGCAAGCAAGCGAACTTAATATAAAGGATTTAAAAAGCGACATGCCTCTGGTTTTGCTGAAAATCAAGTAAACTGGCACATTTGCCCATCACGTGACAACTTTATTTCATTGCCTCTGTCATGTGGTGGAAGGTTACAGTTAAACATTGTGACATTGTACACTACGCAATGATCGAACACAAAAAAGAGAAAGAGTCCCGCCTTTTGGCGTTCTCTGCTCTGACACTGGTGAGACGAGGTCCTAAAGAAGGCTGTCTCTGGTGTCGGCCAATCAGTTTCAAAGACAACGCAGATATTATTATCAGAGCATGTTTGCTTGCTTGTCCACCACAAGTACGTGTGGTTAATGTGAACTTGATTCCTTGCAAAAGGTTTCTATTTGTTGTTTTAACATCTTAACCCCTCCTGTTTAATTGCCAGAAAGCGTAAGGCGTATTGTTCTTTTTTCATGCACAGAACTACAGTAGAACCTCAGAGATCGAACGCACCAGAACTCGAACCAATCGGTGTTCGAACGATATTTCTGAACATTTTTTGCCCCGGAAACCGAACGAAATTCGGAGGTCGAACGGGCAATCGCGTATGGCAGCGTGCATGACGCTTGCCCAGACAAAGGTTTTTCCACCTCCTCCTCCTCCTCACCACCTTCCACTCAAGCCATCAACTCTCCTTACTACAGGTAAAGTGAAGTTCAATGTTCATTTATTTCATTCATTCCATATATTTATTCCATTTATTTATTGTGTTTCTTGTTTTTTTGTATGCTTTTATGCATGTAATTACTGTAAGCTTCGTGTAAAAATGCTTTATAATGAGATATTTCTTTTGTCTGGAACAAATTAACGTCATTTACATTCATTCTTATGGGGAAAATTAATTCGGTGTTCGAACAAAATCGGTGTTTCGAATGTCCTTCTGGAACGAATTAAGTTTGATCGCCGGGGTACCACTGTACTTTGGAGATCCCTTCGAGTGCCCTGTTATGCACACTAGGTGGCAGCAACTTCCCCATCTGCACCGGGACACAGCGATGTTTGTTCCATGACATTCCAACCCACTTTTTCAGTTCTCAGGAGACTGAAATTTAAGCCGAACTAAGCACAGAACAAAATGTAAAATGATTTTATTCATGGACGCCGGAATATGAACACGACATATTATTGAGGTGAGCGGCTTTGCACTTGGAATGTTGCGAGTTCAAATCCCTGACTGGGGGTTTGACTCGGCCCATCACTCCGGCTGGGTCGATAAAATAGATACCACTTTGTGGTGCCATCAACAGTGGTCGTGCTATGATATCACTCGCCCCCCGTCATAGAAACGAGGAGTTTCCACCACTGTCTTAGGGCTGTCAACAACGGATGAGCTCCACCTCCATGCTCATTTGAGCAGCAAAATCACTTGGATCAATGCAAGCGATCCAGAGTGGTGCAGCGGTCGTAGCGTGTTACTTCGCAATCAGAACGACAGCCAGTTCAAACGCCAACCGGCGTTATCCAACCCCATCACCTCTCCATGACACACAAGTCACATTTTGTCAAGTGAATTTCCCCCTGCCATAGGAATGAGGAATTTCCACCACCGGCTGCGGGTTGTAAATTGCACACGATCGGCGACGAATACGTTTTCGAGCGAGTAAACCGCTTCCATTGTCTGCACATATATAAACATATATTTTCACACACACACCAGTGCCGCCGACTCTTTTTACGGTATTATTACGATTACACGCCTTCTCCCGCAGCAGCCCCAGAACCGAGGCTAAATATACTCCGCAGGAGGAACCATGGAGACGGGGGGGGGGCACCGCGCACCACACAAGGGCAACACTGTCGCTCCTCCGCACAACAACAAACATCTCCCCCGGGGCCGACTGACTTCGGAGCGCGTTGCCCGTTCCTGTATAACGGCAAGGCCCAAAATTTCTAACGGTCGCGCACATCGGGCGGCCGACTGAGTGGCGGTGGCGGCGTTTACCGCCGATCCACCGCTTCCTACGAAGTGGCAGCTCACGAGACGCCGGGAGGCACGACGCAGCCGCAATATTGGGTCTGTCTCAAGAAGGGTCCCTGCCAAGTCAGGGATATAACTGCTGGTGGTGGGGGGGGGGGGCACAAGCTGTCGAAGGTGGTCTTAACACCAGGGACAGACGGCAATCATAATAATGACGGGAATAAAGGAAATCGATTTTGACACATTCGTCAAAGTTGAGTTTGTTATTGACGAATTTTTTCAACGGAAATACGTATGGAATATTTGTGCCTGCGTACTACGCTGCCAGCTCATAATCGTAATAGATTTTGTAACGTAGCATCTTTCGTCAAAAAGATGACCACAAAAGTAGTTCAGAGGATGATTCGTGTTATCTCGTATAATCATGATCATCGGCCATCTGCTGCTGGATGAAGGCCTCCCCCAAGTGGCCAACACTTCTCATGATCCCGCAATGTGATAATCCGCCTAGCACCTGCACGCGAACTGATTCCATCGCTCTATCTCCACGTAAATCTGCTCTCCCAAGTAAATCACATGATACCGTTTGTTGTTTATCGCTACGTGACAAAACGTTTCCCACTTTGCAGGTTTGCAAAACCACTTTGGAAATAAGTTCCGTCAGGTTTGCTTATCCGGGCCATTCTCCTAACACATGGGGGGGGGGGGGCGATGCGTTGCTTTGCCAGACTTCGGAATAGAGTTGGCACAATTGGAAGCAGAAAAAACTAAATTAAAATAACATTTGCTCAGAAAACACAGATGAAAAAATATGGGAAAATGAACGCGATTCTAAAGTAACGGGGTTTTGATGACCACAGCGTGACGTGGAGAGCAACCACCCCCCCCTCCTCCCATCCAACGCAACAGCTGTTTTTAAACACCGAGGCAGCGAGCAGCTGACAGCAGGGTGGGTGCGGCAGTCCACAGTAGAAGGGGGGCTGCTGTTTTTCCAACAGCTCGCATAGCCCGCAAGACTTCCTTAAGTCTCCCCGTCCGTCCACAAAGGGGTGAGGGGTCACCGCGACTTCCAGTTGGCTAGCAACAAAAGCGCCCCCCCCCCTGCACCCCCCCCCCCCCCCCCCACTCTTCGGGAAGATGCGACGATTGCACAGCGGCCACGCGGGCTGAGATCCGCCGGTCAATAATTCTCTGCACTGCTGCGTAACAAACCCGCGCCCCCCACGCCCCCCTCAAAACGTTCACGGAAATTGTACAGTGACACCTCGGGCGGCCGGACAGAGAGCAGGAGCAGCTGCGGTGAGGTCAAGCCGAAAAGTCTGGTGGCGTGAAGAGTCCAGATAGCTGCGAATGAACATGAAAAATGTACCCAGAAGAGAAAAAAATTGCAACCGTCTGTATATGCCCGTGTGTAGTGCGCGTGTGTTTTACCGTATGGACTAAAAATAAAATAACTGCAGAGTACTGTGCGTTGTCTACTGTGCTGGTGATTTGCTTGGTTCAGTGGTTGAGGGTACATCGGTCTCCCCCATCCCCCACAACCCCTCCCCTCCATCCCCCTACCCTTCCCCATCCCCTCCATTCTCCACTACCCCTCCATCCCCCATAACCCTCCCCTCCATCCCCCACAACCCCTCCCCTCCATCCCCTACCACCCCTCCCCTCCATCACTCCTTCCCCCACCACTAATATATTGAGTTTATTTAATACACGCTTAAACACGAACATACATATTTTAGACATTATACACTACACTATACAATGTGTTGCAGTGCATTCCATTACACATCATCGATTGTGTATATTAGTCTAAGCAAATATCACGGACAATATTTAATTATATTTCTTATTTTCTTCCATTGGATAGACTGTGGATTTTTTTTATTTTAATAATTTTTATTGGCCAACACAGTCGAGCTAAGTGCGAATTCCAGGTAGCCAGGTGTTCCAATTGTCAAGTACTCTTTGGTTCTTCCGGTAAAGTCACGTAGGTAGATTTATTATTATTATATTATCCTTTTTCTACCTACGTGACTTTACCGAAATAACCAAAGAGTATGGATTCCTGCAGTCACGAAAGCTTCAAATCAAGATTAATTGTCAAGTGTTTTACCCTATGAATTGTAAGAATCGCAATTCATAGTCGCTCGTAAGAAGGGATCCGATGAAAGCACACGTCCGTAAATCCAGGTCACCCGTATTACCGTTCCCATTTCCCGCTAACGACGAGCACAATCATTGACAACTTTCGCTCGGAATCGCATTTTCCATGCCACAGTGGGCCAGCGGCAACAAACGCATGCACACTGCGCACACAGGCACAGAGGCCTCTCTCTCTCATCCGAAACAAAAACGCTTGCCACAAATGAACCACGATACCTCGCCGATATGGTCAAGGGGCGTGTAAACCATCGCGCAAAATCCGGTCATCCTCGCAGCAGCAGCGGCAGCTTTTGCCGAGCCAATCGACACAAAGACGGTCATCACATCGCGCGCTTAACTACCTCGCCCGTTATGCAGAAGGTCGTGAGTTCGATCACAACCCGAACACCCGTATATTAGGAGTTTGTATGTTCGCACCGTGGTCGCGTGGATTTTTCTCCGGGTCCTCTGATTTTTCCCTCTAAAATGTAAAAGCATGCGTTTAGAGTGTTTGGCTGCTATAAATTTCCATGTGATAAGCCACTTTGTTAAGCTATCGTTTGTGGCCAGGTCGCTTCTGAAAAAAAAAGCTATAAAACTCAGCGGGCATTAACTGGTAAAATAAAAAGTTAGTTTAGTTCAGATGCGCTTCTGCGGCCGTCTGGAACACACTTTCTTCCAATATTGGGAAGCGACTGGGAGCTATCCCCTTTGAAATCTAGATTTAAAACTAATATCTTCAGAACTGCTTCTTGCGTTTAGTTTGTCGTCCTCCGCCCCGCACCTCCGATAAACACGGTTGGCTACGCACGGTGTGAAAAAAGTTCAATATACAAGCGTGTCGAGTGGTGTGTGGTACGCACGTTGTACGCGGATACGATGAGCTCGATGACATTGCTGGAGTCGTTTGCGAGGATCCCAACTGTGGCACCCGGCAGAAGCTCCGTGTAGCTCTACAAAGACAAAGACAAAAATCCCCCTTATAGCCTTAACAGACTGTAGGGGCAAGTGCTGTTAGCGAGCACCTTGTAGTTCTACGCACGCACAGACACACACACACACGACACTGTCGTTAGCTATTCACACATAGTGCAGACTTTACAAATGGATCCATCGACACCGGGACAAGCTCTATTCTGTTCTTGCGTATGATGAACAACGCGCCCAGGAGATGAACGCCAACGTCAAGCGAGGTCTGCGAGCCACGAGAGGGTTCGTGTGGTATTTCTGCGATTCCACCTCCCCTTCTCCTCCTCCCATGAAGGAGCCCAGACTACAGTGGTGCTACGACATGGGTCCGTGGTTTGGGTTGTGTGGCCACAATTGCACGACTGACTGTGACTTGTCCATTCGTGAAGGAGATGTGCGCGTCGGCCTGTTGATGCTGCGATGCCGTTGATGGTCACAACACCAGCAGTGTCTTTGAGGAGGAATGTCAAAGCCAGGAGTTTGCGATGGTTGGGGTCTCGAATCATCTGCTTGTCCTGTTCCAATCTGATCGTAGCCGTCACTCTTAAATTGAGATAAAAACCCCTGCGTGTTTGCGCACGCGTTTTCCCATTCAATTGAAACCGTTAATTTGAATCCGGCGTTTTCTGCATCGTGTAGGATGCCCATGCCAATCATCGATCGCGTGCAGCGTGTAGCGCTCCAATTTGTTATTTAACAGGAGGAGATCTAGGGCATTGGCAAGGCCACGGTTAGGCGTGCCGCGGTGGTGGTGGTGGGTCCGTCTGGAAGCCTAAACCGTAATCCATTCGCCGTGATTTGAAAAACGTGGTCGCAACAACGACGCCATTCATTTGCACCCTTTTAATACAAGCACGGCGCGCACGTGAATATAATCCATTAGCACGAGGAGACCTAAGCTACTGCGGATGATGCCGAAAGCCCTTCACCCCCCCTACCACACCCATAATACCCCCACCCACAGTCTTATGTAACCCGACCCCAGGAAACACCAGCGCCTCCACACCATGAGCTGCTGTTAAAATGAAAGGAACGACACACCTGCCTCATCTCCCACCACCGTGAACAACTCAAACGAGGTTCAAAGAGGACTTAGTCCAGGACTGACTTTATGAAGACGGCTGCCTGTGGCCTTGTCACACCGGGGCGTGGGGAGGCCTCGTCGGAACTCGGAAATGAAACGGACCGAGCCTGGACGTGCTTTGGACGGATGACCACCCACGCCTAATAAAAAAATTAACAAATATATACAATGGGCGACGTAAATTTCAGTTTAAAGCTTTCGTGACTGCAGGGATTCATCTTCATGGTTCTTTCGGTAAAGTCACGTAGAAGGGAAATAATAAAATAATAAAAATAAAACATTATAAATAATAATAAAAATAAAACATAATAAATTAGTATTAATAATAAAAATAAAGCATAATAAATTATTATTATGTTTTATTTTTATTATTTTATTATTTCCATTCTACGTGACTTTACCGAAAGAACCAAGAAAATGGGTGACGTGTTGGGTCATGGCCTCTCCTTCAGAGCACACCAAGAAAGGAATTTGCCTGAAACGTCGTCCTATAATTATTGTTTTTCGTTTGAAGCAGTGTTACTGATGATTGCGTAGAATTTCCGCGCGTTATTTGTGATCGTGCACCAATGCCATCGCAGCATCGCCAAATAATTTGCTTAACAGTGCACAAGAGGCTGCTGCGGAGCTGCGTGGTGGGCATTAAGCATTGTTGTACTGTGCTTATATGCTCCCGCGTCTACCCTGCCCACACCTTCACAAATACGCAATGACCTTCTGACCTTTGAGACTGTGTTCAGCAACTATGATTAAAAATTATAGATTTTAAGTTTTCGTGACTGCAAGGATCCATACTCTTTGTTTTTGTTTTTTCATTCATACGCGACAGTAATTTTGCTGGAGCAGTCACACCTGATGACGGATGCTTGTGTTGCTTCTAAAACGTCGTGATTTAATTTAGTCATTTTATTTTTATTTGTTTTCACCTTCGTGACTTTACCGAAAAAACCAAAGAGCATGATTAAAAAGTAACAATGCGGGCCACATCTCAATCTTTTGCACAGGAGTGGGGGAGACAGGCCATTGGAAAGAGGTGAATGCAACGATGAGAGGGAGGCTGGTCGGGATTCACGACGCAGATGAGAAGAGGGATGAATTGAAATACAAATGTCATGGAAGACATTGGGGTGGACACGGAGTCAGTCATGAGAGCAGCGACTCGAAGGCAAATGTCAATGTGCACTTCAAGGAAATAATGTATTGTCATTATTAAGTTTGCCTGCCTCGCCGAGTCTCGACTCTTTATCAAGAGGGTCCTGTCAAATTTGCACAGCAGACAACGTTGCTTCTGCTGTGCGCGTGATCCCAATTGAGTCATTTGCGGGTGATGTTTCAGCATTGGGATGTGTGGTCAATACCAGTTAGGCGGCATATTACTAACAATGGGAGAAAAACGGTGAACTCAGAGGAAACCAAAGCAGAACACAGGGGGCAGAGAGAAAGAGAGAACATAAAAACTCCACGCAGACAGGTGCCCGAGTCGAGAATCGAACCCCATGCCCTCCCTGCTGTTGGGCACATGCGTTACCACTGCGGCACCCTGCCAACATGTACACAGAGGAGTGACCACGCACGGAATGGAGAATAGGGGGGAGAGGTGGTGGTGGTGGTATCTACAAGTGGCACTGAGCACTGAAGCAGAGAGGGCACGTGGAGGGGAGCAGATTAGAATAACACGCGTACCAGAGGTACCCAGACCTTACCTTGTACAGACCAAAATATGGGGTGGTCACGGCAAAAATTAAGTTGATGTTGTTTTCGGCCAACTTCTCGCCGAGGAATCCCAGGGAGGGGTAATCCTACACAGAAAAAATATTTTACGAAAAAATATAGAAATGCGGGAGCATGTGAAGCTCATGCAGCAGCAATATTTAAGTGAATGAGCATGCATCACTGCCTCCGGCTGGCAGATAGTAATAAGTATAACCCATAAAAACAAAGTTTTTCACTCTAAATCCTTTATATTCGCGGCGGCTCGAGTCTTCTCGTTCTCTGGCTTGAGATGGCTGCCACCTATGGGTCAGATGATTGTCTGCAGTATTAAACAATTGGTAATTAAATATTTAATTTGTTTTCCCTAAAAAATGTAAAATTTTGGAAAAAAATTTTCACGAACATTAATTGTCTCGCACAACGAGTCTATGTGCAAAATGTCAGCTTGATTGGATCACGGGAAGTGGGTTTAAAAAACGACCAAAAGGTTTGCACGGTCGTAAGCAAGCAAGCAAGCACGCAAGCACGCAAGCAAGCGAACTTAATATAAAGGATTAAAAAACAGACCTGCAGTCAACCGTAATTACAATTAGAGCAGCATTATTACGACGTGATATTATAACCAAAATTACGTCCTGATTGCAACACATTACGAACTACAATTGTACTTCACCACAGGTCTGCCAACTGAACCACGCCGACACACACTCCAACCGCGAGCAGACATGGCACCAGATTAGCAGACAGTCCCAACTCTGTGTGTGGGCACGGCACAAGGCTGTGGGACAGCCCAGCTGCATGTGTGTGTGTGTGTGTGGGTAGAGCACAAGGGTAGTAAACGATAAATCTTCAAGTGGATGATGCACCGAGCTACCGGACCACCCCAATACTGAGTGGGGTAATGCAACAGGTTGGCACAGGCCAACCGTGATTGGGTACTGCACCAGGCTGGCACCTCCGATTTCACACCTCCGATTAGCACGACTTGCTACGTACGGTGCGAAAGAAGTTCAATATACAGTCAGACTGACTGTGCGTAATGTATCAGGTTGGCACAGGCCAACTGTGTGGGTACTGCACTAGGCCTGCACAGGCCAACCGTGAGTCGCTAATGAACGAGGCGGGCGCAGTCCAACCGCAAACAATCCAACGGTGAGCGCGGGTATCACACCAGGCTGTCGGCGGCCGAGTAGCTGTCATTGTTGTCGAGGTGGCAGTGCCCGTCGTGGGGCCGCAGGACCCCACCGAGCCGGCCGTCCAGCGCCAGGTGCGAGGCAGCGTCGGTGGCGAACACCAGCAGGTGAGACGCCTCCTTGCGCCAGCCAATGCGATCCTGCCAGGGCACATTGGGCACATTCCGCGATTGCCGGCCTCGTCCAACACAAGCTGTTGGGGCAAGTGCAGTTAGCGGAGCTCTTAGGAAGGCGAGCACGGCGCACGAGGGGATGGTGTGGCCAGCACCATGCCCGGCTGCCTTTGTCTCCCCAGTGTTTTATAGATGACACCAGGTACTCATTTAGGGACAAGTTTACCGACAGAAGGCAACAAAACTGGTTCATGCAATCGCCACAAATGATCGCACAGCGCGCAACTGTGCCACCACTCCTCACATCTAGCAACAAAGACAAAGATCCCCCGTATAGCCTTAACAGACGGTTGGGGCAAGGGCTGTTAGCGGGCACCTTTGAAGGCCGGAACGGCACGCGAGGGGGTGGGGATGGCGAGCACCACGCCCGACCGCCTTCGTCTTCCCAGTGGCGATGTTAACACACTGCACTAGGTACTCATTTTAGGCCGAGTCGACATAGGGGAGGCCCAGACCAGTTCAGATAATATAATCGTTACTGGTGTTGACCGTGAGCGGGAATCAAACTCGGGTCGCACGGCTCGCAGACTTAAACTTGGACGTGTCGTTTAAAAAAAAACTTGCCGTACGCTCGGGAGACACTGGCAGACCAATGTCCCAGAAAACTCTTGTGAATGAGACTCACCCGGGTCTCTTTCAGCTCTCACCACTGGGTTAAACAAAAATACACTTTAAACTTGAATTTGCTGCCAAATGAAATTGTTGGCTTGAAGGCATCTCCGCAAGTCTTGCGACGCAAGTGCTTGCTTTTGCTTGTGGTTTGGAACGATTCGTGTAATGATTCAATTATTCTCGTACTCAGGATACACGCGTAAAAATTGTTTCCATAAGAGCCGGTTATTTGAAATGTATGAAAAATGACATGCTAATTGCAAGAGAATGTTGCCTGTTGGCTACTGAAAATAATGAGAGCAAAACAGGATGGAACATAAGAGATGGAAGAAGCAAGCCAAGACGGAACAAATCGGAACCCTGAATTGCGACAATTCATCAAATCGCATCGGGTCAGCGTATAATTCAACGCCTCATTATAAACGCATTTCAACCCTACTGCGATCAAATGGAAGTTATGAAGATGCACTGAGCACCCACAACATTACACAGCTCGTGGAGGTAGTATTGGTACGCGTTGAGAAGAGACTAGAGGGGGGTATAGAGATACCACTGGCGCACGGCACAAGGAGGAGAGTTGGACAGGCGGTGAGAGATATGGATGCGGTGAAACAAGATACGATGACAGTGGATGCGATGAAAGCAGAAGAACGAGGAGAGAGCCACACAGAGTAAGAAGATTCCAGCAGCGGCCCCAACGCATTAGTGGGACTTCTGGATGAGAGTAAAATGTAGGTCAATGGGAATGATGTATGTACAGTAAAACCTTGGATTGCGAGTAACTTGGGCTGCGAGTGTTTGGCAAGACGAGCAACATTTTTTTGATAAATTTTAACTTGATAAACGAGCGAGGTCTTGCAATACGAGTAGTACGTACAGTATACGCTTTGTCTACCGAGCGTCACGTGATCACAACTGAGCCAATGGTTCTTCTCTCACTCTCACTGCGGGATTGTGGGTAATCGTCTCCCATGCTCGGTCTCAGTGGGCGTGCCTCACTCGTATAGTCAACATCCGTGCGAGCGTAGACTGTTTACTAAAGTGTTGTGACCACGTGTGTGTGTGCGTAAAGCATTTTTTTATTTTGTGTCCAAGTGTAGTGGCTGTTCTTTAGTAACTGTACTGCAACAATGGGCCCCCTCCTCCTCTTCTCTCTCTCATCTCCCTCACACCAGCCACGATTAAAAGTAATTAATACATTTGATTACTTTATATTAAATAAAAATAATAAAAATATAAAAAGGTATTTTGGATTAATAATTTTTACGTAAATATTTTTGGTTTCATAATCAACGATTTTTGGGTTTAGATCGCGTTTATTTATAAATGTGTCGTAACCCTCCACCACCCGACACGGCCAATCAGTAAAAAATGTGTCACGTTGACAAAGACAAATAGTTCACTGCTTTAGCCCACCGGTGTGTTGAAGCAACAACATTCACAATTTGAGTACGACGTTTCGCTGGTAATTACAACCAGCATCATCGGGCAATTCGCCAGAATGGTGAGGCTCTCCTGTGTCTCCCGTTCTTATATAGAGCAGCAGCAGGATGACGTCATCATTAACTCATTAACTCATCAGGTGCAAAGATTCAAGGGGGGAGTGATTGTAATTATATACTAGATTAGTAATCAGGCTATTGTTACGATGCGAGTTGTAGATTAGTAATCATTTGGAATGTGTTTTATTGTGATTATGCTACATTAGTAATCTGTTAGTGGTTGTTTCCTTTATAAGTAATTGTAATGTATCTTATTTAATAATACGCTTCCAGGCCGCACTAAGCCTGTAGCTGTCTGAGCGATTAAAGTTATTTCTGTTTCTCTCAATTTCAATCGATTCTCTAATTAGTCTTTGCCAGTAGTAACTAGTTTTACACAACACTTCCACGTTGTCAAAATCAATTGAGTGTCCCTGTTGGCATGCATGTTCTGCTACTGCCGACAGTTGTGTTTGTGATAGTTTAATATTTCTCTGGTGTTCTTTAAGTCTTACACTAACGTTACGCCCTGTCTGTCCAATATAGCATCTGCCACATACACAATTAATCCGATATACACCTTCTGTTGATAATTTAGGTAATTCGTCTTTAGTGCACGTTACTAGTTGTTGAATTTTGTGTACTGTACCAAATCTTACTGTAATGTTTTGCTTTTGCAAAACACGGGCTAATTTATCAGTTACTCCTGAGATAAATGGTATTTTTATTGTTTTAATAATCTGATCGCTTTCAGCAGTGTTGCTTTGCGATCGTGATTTGGCTTTTAGTGCTCTGTTAATTTGAGCATTATTGTAGCCATTCTGTCTTAGTGCTTCTTTAACATGTTTAATCTCTCTCACTAGACTTTCACCATCTGACACTGTTTTAGCCCGATGTATGAGCGTCTTGATAAGAGAGGATTTCTGAGCTGGGTGATGATGCGAATCTGCATTCAGATAGGCATCAGTGTGCGTTGGCTTTCTGTAAACGCACACTGATGCCTATCTGAATGCAGATTCGCATCATCACCCAGCTCAGAAATCCTCTCTTATCAAGACGCTCATACATCGGGCTAAAACAGTGTCAGATGGTGAAAGTCTAGTGAGAGAGATTAAACATGTTAAAAAAGCACTAAGACAGAATGGCTACAATAATGCTCAAATTAACAGAGCACTAAAAGCCAAATCACGATCGCAAAGCAACACTGCTGAAAGCGATCAGATTATTAAAACAATAAAAATACCATTTATCTCAGGAGTAACTGATAAATTAGCCCGTGTTTTGCAAAAGCAAAACATTACAGTAAGATTTGGTACAGTACACACAATTCAACAACTAGTAACGTGCACTAAAGACGAATTACCTAAATTATCAACAGAAGGTGTATATCGGATTAATTGTGTATGTGGCAGATGCTATATTGGACAGACAGGGCGTAACGTTAGTGTAAGACTTAAAGAACACCAGAGAAATATTAAACTATCACAAACACAACTGTCGGCAGTAGCAGAACATGCATGCCAACAGGGACACTCAATTGATTTTGACAACGTGGAAGTGTTGTGTAAAACTAGTTACTACTGGCAAAGACTAATTAGAGAATCGATTGAAATTGAGAGAAACAGAAATAACTTTAATCGCTCAGACAGCTACAGGCTTAGTGCGGCCTGGAAGCGTATTATTAAATAAGATACATTACAATTACTTATAAGGGAAACAACCACTAACAGATTACTAATGTAGCATAATCACAATAAAACACATTCCAAATGATTACTAATCTACAACTCGCATCGTAACAATAGCCTGATTACTAATCTAGTATATAATTACAATCACTCCCCCCTTGAATCTTTGCACCTGATGAGTTAATGAGTTAATGATGACGTCATCCTGCTGCTGCTCTATATAAGAACGGGAGACACAGGAGAGCCTCACCATTCTGGCGAATTGCCCGATGATGCTGGTTGTAATTACCAGCGAAACGTCGTACTCAAATTGTGAATGTTGTTGCTTCAACACACCGGTGGGCTAAAGCAGTGAACTATTTGTCTTTGTCAACGTGACACATTTTTTACTGATTGGCCGTGTCGGGTGGTGGAGGGTTACGACACATTTATAAATAAACGCGATCTAAACCCAAAAATCGTTGATTATGAATAACATTGGTCGCGAAAGCCTACGTGTTAAACCAAATATTTTTGGGTTGTGGAACGAATCCATCGGAGTTTCCATTATTTCTTATGGGGAAATCCGCTTGATATACGAGTGCTTTGGATTACGAGCACGTTTCTGCAACGAATTATGCTCGCAATCCAAGGTTTCACTGTAGTATGCTCCGTGCACACGACAGGAGTGACAAACAGAGAAAAAGGTAAGCAGGCCGCAAAACATAATTAAATACCAAATTAATTATTCATAGAAGTCAGATTCATCACGCTTGGGAAAGGCAGCAAGAACACCAAGAAAAGCGTCCCAGACCACGCCAAGATAAGGCCGCACGAGACGGGACATTAAACATTGACCTGGCGAGTGAACATCATGCGCGTGTGCGTGTGTGTGTGCGCATCGTGGTGACGTCACCGCCACTTAGTGGCGAATGGCGTTGTTGTTGTGTGTAACCGGCACTGCTGCGCAACGCACCCCGCACACCGCGGCCTGCATGATGGCATCGAAGCCACCCTCCGGGGCGTCCTTGTTGCGGGAGACGTTGAGACGCTTCACCTCCTCGTTGAAGCGGTCCACCTCGTCGGTGAGCGAGAGCAGGTGGCGGAATCCGAACGACGGCACGCACTTCGGGAAGCGCTTGTACCTGCTCGGTGAGAGCATGGGGCAGCGGGGGGTGGGGAAGGGGGGAAGGTGCCACCTGTCACTCAACCGAAGTGAGAAGAGCACGGCAAATAACGTGGCTCCGTGGGCTTCGTTTTGTTTAAAAATTCCCAAGATTGATGCGGATTGTGATGTCGGGATGACGTCATGAGACATGGTATCCACTCAGAACTATTGGAGGGCAACTTTGGGTCATTTAAATGCAGGACCAATTTATGTAAACTTCAAATCTAGAATGCGCAGTCATTGTTTGTGGCTCGGCACTAAACGAACAGGTAACAGCTAGAAATTGATACAATGACGCTTAGCAAAACGGACGATATGACGGTAGCTGTGGACGTTACCCCGTATGATGTATCATAGTATATTGGCATATCGTGGCCACCCCACCAACTACACGGAGCCACCGGTCGACCAGTACAAACTTTACTGAAATCCCACTACGTGAAAAAATAATGAAACAAATCGATAAGAGCGTTAACATCCAAGCGTTTGCACGAATTCACGCACCGTGAGGCAGGCCTCGCCAGAATGGGGCATCCTGTTTCATCCTTTGCTCCGTGTCCACCGAGAGGCGTGCACGCGCGTACGTACATACGTACACACCTGCGTGCGTGCATGCGCACTTGCGGCTTCTCACCCGGCGCAAGGGTTGTGAAGGTACGCCGGCGCCGAGAAGGCGTAGGGAGAGGCCGGTTTGTCAACAAACGAGCCGAAGCCCAGACGCAGGTTGCTGGTGAGTCCCGCCATCTCCGCCGCCAAGCGGGAGCCGAGCAGCTGCATGGTGGCCAGGTCGTCGTGCATGGACAGAGACAGGTCCATCATGTAGTAGATGTCCACCGGGTAGTCTTCCACTTGGCGAACCCGAACTTCAAAGCTCACGGGGTCCCCTGTTGGTGAGGTTGCGAGATCAGAGACGAGTGTTTAGAGCAGAGGGGAGCGCAGACACTCTGGGTATCGTCGGCGTCCAAACGGCCAATATGTATATATCTCTAAACGTCGCAAAGAGACACCAACAACATGTTTAAGTAAAAATTGCACCTTTGACTATTAATACTGGTAGGAACCTCCTGGTTACACTAGCCCACAGGGAATTATTGTATCCGTCCGCCCGTCGTGCAGGAAGGGGCTGGGTGGGGAGGGGAGGGTGGGGAGGGGCTGGGTGGGGAGGAGCTGGGTGGGAAAGGGTGGGGCTGGGTGGGGGGTAGGAGGGGTGGGGCTGGGTGGGGAGGGGCTGGTCACCCCGTGGTGCCCTTATAAAACTCAACGTTTAACTTACTCACGCCGGCTTGTGCCCGCCCTCACAGTCGGGCATATTTGCGGAATACACCACGCCGCCGTTGACCCTGCAGGCCATTGACCAAGCAACCCAACGTTCCTACCAGCTCCCTCCGCAGGACAATGTGTTTTTACTACTTGTGTTGGTGAGGTCGTGGGATCACAGACAAGTGTTTATAGCAGGGGGGCGAGCAGCCACTGAGCGCATCGTGGGTGTCTGGACACGCAGAATGTTTAAACGTCGCAAAGAAACATCCACAACGTTTTAAATAAATAAATAAAGATATTCGAGTCATCGTTTGACTACTTATCAACAAAGTGACATGTCTACTTTATTTTAAGCTTGTAAACAATGTTCTTTCCAAACATTGCACACATGCACAATGCACCAAGTGATTTCACACACTGGTGAACATAGGGAGATGCCCACCGGCTGTTTACCGCACTTAGCAAGTGGTGGAAATTACATTCTTGTGACAGGGATGTGCAAACCCACAGCCCGATTATTCATAACTTCCCACAAAGTGGTACTCGTTTGATCAACTCTAGACGGATGAATAGCCGAGTCAACCACCAACTGAATGTTTAATGCCCGGTCTTCCCATTGCCAGCTGTACTCCAACCACATAGCACGTGGCCAGATTGACAGCAGCAGGTGCAATGAGATTCTTAATGAGCATGGTGCGTGCGGTAGAGCTGGGACGTCCACAACCATCCAACACCATCAGGGATAAGACCAGGCCCTTGGGAGCGAAATTTATGGCCACGGAACATCACGTGCGGGAGCCCCCCCCCCCCCCCCCCCATCACTTCGCATGAAATATAAACTCAAATGCTTTGTATTTCATGTAGAGGCCCGCAAGGCCCTGAACTTGGGGCCCTGGTGCAATTATTTCACCTCTCACCCCGCCCCAACTCTCATCAGACCGTGGACTCACCGGGCCGCAAATTCAGAGTTACGGCTTGCGGCGACTGCTGCACCACAGCCGCTAAACCGCCGCCGCCGCCGCCAGCTGCCGCAGTGTCCAACTTCTCGCTCAGCGGCATATCCTTCGTGATCGACCGCCGGCTTCTGGGAGCCTCAATCTGCTCGGCGGGGCAGCCGGCCTGCAGGAGGCGGCGAACCAGGTCACAGCGTGACAGGCCTCCCGCGGGGCTGCCCCTGAAATCCTGCGCGAGAAGGGAAAGGAGAGTTTAGGCTCAAAAGGGATTTGATTGCCTCAAGTTCTTGGGCTCTTTACGCCCCCAACTTTGGCGCTTAACGGGACGGAACGACGAATCGGAAGTAACGGGCCATACGGGAGGGAGTGTGGCACCGTTTGGCGCCAGCTATCGTAGAGTGCAGCGGTCGTGTCGCTACAGTTCTCTGCGGTGAGTACAACGTCTTTAAAAGCAGCCGGACTACCAGCATGTGTATTCGTTTGCCAGTAGGGGGCGATATGCGGTAAAAAAAACTATTTCACTGCTCACTTCATACTGTTTGGTTCTTTCGGTAAAGTCACGTAGGTATAAAATAAAACAAAATTAATTAAATCACGACGTTTCGGGCGCAACACAAACATCCGTCATCAGGTGGGACAACCACAGCAAGAAACAATTGCTGAAGTGGGCAAAAGGGCTGCTGCAACAAGAGGCAATATAGGTAAGAGAGGCGGGGGGGGGAGGAGCCAGCAGCCCTTTTGCCCACTTCAGCGATTGTTTCTTGCTGTGGTTGTCCCACCTGATGACGGACGCTTGTGTTGCGCCAGAAACGTCGTGATTTAATTCATTGTTTTATTTTATACCTACGTGACTTTACCGAAAGAACCAAAGAGTACGGATCCCTGCAGTCACGAAAACTTCAAATCTAGAGGTGCTCACTTCATGTTGGCACCAGCCACAATCCGGGTGCAACAGCAGACATTCCTGGCATGAATCGGCCCCTCCAAACACACACGGATTCGACTCAACCGCTTGTGCGCCACCTGCAAAGAGACACACAGAGCCACGTGTTGATGTTCATCACCATCACAAACTGTAGTCTAGCCCACTGTTCAATCAAGAACAGGGAACAGGCTCCTCCTATACTGTCAAGAACCCTCGTGGCCCTTCAAGAAAACACAATGCAACAAACTCTTGGTACGTGACATCCTCTCATCGCTCCATCTCCACAGTGGTCGGGTACCCAGATAAGTTTGCTCGTTTTGCTGTAAAATCTGTCCCATCTCATGCCTAACTTCCTTTTTTTGCAGTCGATATTGCATGGGACTATAAATAAAACCGCAAAACACAGCAAGTTACAACAACAGAAATGGGACGAAATGCAGACGCGTGCAAACAAACGCACGCAGACAGGACAAATGCTCGAATCTCCAATGCGACAGGAGGCACTGGCGCACGGATCGGAGGAAAACAAATCGGAATCGTCACACTGCTGATGTCACAAACTAGCGCAGCTACAGGCCCATGCAAAGCCGTAATTATAATATATATTGAGGGGGACACATCCCACACAACCCCCCAATATTCAAATATGTTCAAAATGTTCCTGCCAATATATTGCTATAAACAATATTTTTTACAAAAAATTATATGCTATGTAAATAAACACAAAAATTTGCTAAACCTTGGCCACAATATCTGGACTTGTCTTCGTAGAACAATGCATAGATTTCTGTTTATATGATTGTGGTTATGGTTGCACTTTATAAATCCTTAATCTCTGTCATTACATACAATGAAACAAGAAAAGGCTATGTAATACAATACACTATTTGACATAATTGTAAAAACATTTTTTTATATTTTAGGCAGGAAATTTGTTTTCAAATTGTTTTTTTTCTGGGGGGTGGGGGGGGGGCTAGACCCCCTGGAAGATTTGGTCCCCCCAATGTTGACTCCATGGCTACGGTCTTGGGCCCATGAGTTTATAAAATCAAATGGCAACGTATGCCAACGATTGTACACCCCTGCAGCTTAATTGGCGGGTGTCATCCCAGTAAACAAGCAACCCTGGACCAACTTTGACACGTGATTGAGCCGTTGACCCATGTTTACTGGGTCATTATGAAATCCTTGGCCACATCAGCCGCGATCAATCCACTGCTGGGCGAAGGACTCCTCCAAGCCGTACCCATCTCTCGCAGTTCTGAGATGTAAAAAAAAGAAATCCATCTCACCCCCTGCACACGAGAAGATTTCAAGCGCTCTATTTCCTCGAGCAGTAGTTCTTAAACCTGGGGTGCACGCACCCCCTGGCGGTGTGAGATGCCCTTTCTGGGGGTGCGAGACATGGCCAGACATGCAAACTCCAAATATACAGCAGCAGGCGTCAGGGTCGGGATCGAACCCACGACCTCATGCATACTAGGCGAGGTAGTAAACATCTCCTAGCCACCGCGATGATGATGATGATGTGAGAGAGACACGCAAACTCCAAATATACAGCAGGCGTCAGGATCAGGATCGAACCCACGACCTCCTGCATACCAGGCGAGGCAGTTAACATCTCCTAGCCACCGTGATGATGATGAGAGAGAGAGAGACACGCAAACTCCAAATATACAGCAGCAGGCGTCAGGGTCGGGATCGAATCCATGACCTCCTGTATACCAGGCGAGGTAGTCAACATCTCCTAGCCACCGTGATGATGATGATGAGAGACACACAAACTACAAATATACATCAGCAAGCGTCAGGGTCGGGATAGAACCCACGACCTCCTGCATACCAGGCGAGGTAGTTAACATCTCGCCTAACCCTGGCCCATGTGTTTACTGTTAACCTTCATGCTTTTCGGAAGTCCCAGTAGCTTCCAGCTCAATCGAGAATGGGGTTAGTGATCATATCCCGTTGAGCCGGCGACGGAAATTCCACATTCCTTAGGCGGGAGGGAAGCGAGCAATTCCAAAAAACAATAAACCTTTGTGGTCATTTATAGGAGTTATGCATAAGTAAATAGTGTGTGTAAAAGTAATTAAAGTGCACATAACTTCATCAATATGTACATATACTGTCATTATTGTTATTGCTGTACGTTATGAATGTGCACCAAGTATTGCTGAGTTTGTGTGTTCATAATTGCATGAGTTCCTAACGTGTTAATGAGTTAATCATGTGTTTGTTTACGAATGGGTGTGTTTATCATCGCATAACGCGTTAATTATATCCTGAACATCAAATTAAGAACGTGTATTGCCTTTATCAATAAGTTACTGTGCTAAGAAGTTATTCATGCGCAAGTTATTAAATCAGTTGCCGTGTTTATTAATTGGGTTGTGTGTTAACCAAACACACGAGTTACTAACTTTAAAAGCTACTAACTTGTTAGTAGCAAGTCATCAACATTAAGTGACACCACTACTGTACTGTAAGTGACCCACACACGTGTTACATCAGTCAATGCAGTTGTTATCAACCCCGAGTCCCACGTTAAACATTGACAGCATCATCATCATTCTCATCATCATATCGAGTAGTGTTACACACAGCGGCACAATGTACACGAATCGCACCTTTCAACAGCGGCATCATCAGCAGCAGCAGCACCATCAGCTGTTGTTGTTGCACGGCAGCAGTAGCAAGGAGACCCATGTCTCTTTAACACCACCACCACCACCAACAACAACAACCACCACCACCACCACGAGGATGATGGAAGAGGATGATGATGAAGAGGAGGAGGAGGGTAGCTCAGAGCCACGACATTTCACACGACACGGGGCTAGGACGAGGTAGGAAACGATGAGAAGTGGTGATGATGGTGGTGGTGATTTGGTGGGAGGAGCGCACCCGGGCGGATTTGCGTCACCAGACAGGAGGCTCGCACCCCCCACCCACTACCACTACCCCCCACCACCACCACCCCCACCACTACCCCCCACAGCCAGCAACCCCCCACCACCACCACTATCCCCCCCCACCACTACCCCCCCCCACCACTACCCCCCCCACCACTACCCCCCCCACCACCCCCACCACTACCCCCCCACTACCCCCCCCACCACTACCCCCCCCCACCACTTCCACCCCCCCACCACTACCACCCCCCACCACCCCCACCACTACCCCCCCCACCACTACCCCACCACCACTACCCCCACCCACCACTACCCCCCCCACTACCCCCCCCACCACTACCACCCCCCCCACCACTACCACCCCCCCCCCCCACCACTACCCCCCCACCACTACCACCCCCCCACCACTACCACCCCCCACCACCACCCCCACCCCCCCACCACTACCACCCCCCCCACCACCACCCCCACCCCCCCACCACTACCCCCCCCACCACCACCCCTCTCACACAGAGACCCATAGACTCACACAGAGAGCCATAGACTCACACAGAGACTGATAGACTCACACAAAGACCCACATACTCACACAGAGACCCATAGACTCACACAGAGACCGATAGACTCACACAGAGACCCACATACTCACACAGAGACCCATAGACTCACACAGATCCATAGACTCACACAGAGAGCCATAGACTCACACAGAGACTGATAGACTCACACAGAGACCCACATACTCACACAGAGACCCATAGACTCACACAGAGACCCACAGACTCACACTAGACACATAGACTCACACAGAGACCCATAGACTCACACAGAGACCGATAGACTCACACAGAGACCCACATACTCACACAGAGACCCATAGACTCACACTAGACACATAGACTCACACAGAGACCCACAGACTCACACAGAGACTCATAGACTCACACAGAGACCCACATACTCACACAGAGACCCATAGACTCACACAGATCCATAGACTCGCACAGAGTCCCACAGACTCACACAGACACCCATAGACTCACACAAAGACCCATAGACTCACACAGATCCACAGACTCGCAGAGACCCATAGACTCACACAGAGACTCATAGACTCACACAGAGACCCACAGACTCACACAGACACCCATAGACTCACACAAAGACCCATAGACTCACACAGATCCACAGACTTGCAGAGACCCATAGACTCACACAGAGACCCACAGACTCACACAGAGACCCACAGACTCACACAGAGACCCGTAGTTTGTCTTCCCCCCGCACCTCCGATTAGCACGGTTGGCTACGTACGGTGCGAAAGAAGTTCAACACACACACAGGCACACGTGTAGGGGTGGTTACGGGAAGGGAAGCGGACAAACACATAGGGGTGTCTACATCCACGTCCGCAACGGTTAACCCTGGGGGGCTATGGGTGGCGCTGTGATCCCCCATAGCCCCCACCCCTCGGAGGCGATTCCTATAAAAGGCGGGGAGCCAGAGGCAGAGGTCGCAAACGGGTTTTGATTCCTTACCCATACCCGGCCGCACCAGGGTCACAAATGGGTACGGGTACCCGTTCCCTACCCGTACCCTACCAAAAATGAGTGACAAACGGTGACTCACCAGTAACTAACGGCCTACCCGTACCCGGCCGCACCAGGATCGCAAACGGGTACACGTACCCGGCCGGGTACGGGTATCGGGTACCCGGTTGCGACCTCTGGCCAGAGAGCTCGAGGTCCAGTGTGTTAGAAGCTTAGCCAGTGAAGACTGAAGACCGGCAGATAGGCCCTGGAACTCCCCTGGCTCACTGTCCTTCTCAGGACCGGGCAGGGCAAGCCAGTGGCGTGGCCCTAAGAGTTTCAGGACTGATGATTTTGTAAGAGCCGGTCTAGTTGATGTGGCACATTAGGAATGGATCACTCTTTTAAGTGTGTCCTTGTGCAGCAAGGGAGTAAAGTGTGGTTCTGTGAAGGTCCTGATGTGCTGTGCAGTGCATCAATGCATGTGTGTACAGCAGCATGTGATGACTGAGTCGGGCCTGTAGGTGGCTGGCAGGGTTAATGAATAACCGCACGTGTAAACCAGCCACATGGTTAATGGCGTCTCGGAAGGATGGCTGCGTGTAACACGCGCTGTTGCATTTTACAGAGTAACGGTGCTGTTCTTCCCAAGATTCATATGAACCACAATAAATAAATGTGCTTGCCCTCGATTTGGAGCACCTGCCCACGTCCTTCATCTCGAGTGTGCAACATTGACCAGGGCCGGATCAGATAGCCTCCCCTAGCACTCTTAGCGGAGGACTGGGAGTAAGATCAGTCAAGGGGATAGTGCTAGGGATTCATCTTCTTGGTTCTTTCGGTAAAGTCACGTAGAAGGGAAGTAATAAAATAATAAAAAATAAAACATAATAAAATAATTGCTGCCGCTGTATGTTTTATTTTTTATTATTTTATTACTTCCCTTCTACGTGACTTTACCGAAAGAACCAAGAAGATGAATCCCTGCAGTCACGAAAGCTTTAAATCGAAAGTGCTAGGGGTGTTTCCCATTGATTACGGGTGAAGGGGCCGTTACCCCTTCAAGTATTGTGTTATACCGCCCTTTGGTTAAATGAACAATTGTGCCTTAACTACGGTCATCTTTGTCTCGCTGAGAACTCACTACGTATGTTAAACTTCTTTCGCACCGTACGTAGCCAACCGGTGCTAAATCGTAGGCGCGGTGGTGGCAAGAACAACAGACTAACTAACACAACAGCGAGCAGTAGCAGCAGGGAGTCTCTTTAATTCGCGTGGTGGTGGTGATGAGGTAGGAGCCGGGGGGGTGGTGGGGGGTGCTGGTGGGGGGGTGCTGGTGTTGGTGGGGGGGTGGGGGGGGTTGCTGGCTGTGGGGGGTAGTGGTGGGGGGTGGTGGTGGGGGTGCTGGTGTTGGTGGGAGTGCTGGTGTTGGTGGGGGGGTGGGGGGTTGCTGGCTGTGGGGGGTAGTGGTGGGGGTGGTGGTGGGGGGGTGGTGGTGGTGAGGGGGGGGGTGCTGGTGGTGGGAGGTTGCTGGCTGTGGGGGGTAGTGGTAGGGGGTGGTGGTGGTGGGGTAGTGGTGGTGGGGGGTAGTGGTGGGGGTGGTGGTGGTGGGGGGGTGGTGGTGGGGGGTGGGGGGAGGTAGTAGTGGTGGGGGTGGTGGTGGGGGGGTGGTGGTGGGGGGGTGGTGGGGGGGTGGTTTGCTGGCTGTGGGGGTTGCGAGCCTCCTATCTGGTGACGCAAATCCGCCCGGGTGCGCCCCCCCCTAACCACCACCACCACCATCATCACCACTTCTCATCGTCTCCTACCTCGTCCTAGCCCCGTGTCGTGTGAAATGTCGTGGCTCTGAGCTACCCTCCTCCTCCTCTTCATCATCATCCTCTTCCATCATCCTCCTGGTGGTTGTTGTTGTTGGTGGTGGTGTTAAAGAGACATGGGTCTCCTTGCTACTGCTGCCGTGCAGCAACAACAGCTGATGGTGCTGATGCTGCTGCTGCCGCTGTTGAAAGGTGCGATTCGTGTACATTGTGCCGCTGTGTGTAACACTACTCGATATGATGATGATGATAAGAATGATGATGATGATGCTGTCAATGTTTAACGTGGGACTAGGGGTTGATAACAACTGCATTGACTGATGTAACACGTGTGTGGCTCACTCACAGTACAGTAGTGGTGTCACTTAATGTTGATCACTTGCTACTAACAAGTTAGTAACTTTTAAAGTTAGTAACTTTTAAAGTTAGTAACTCGTGTGTTTGGTTAACACACAACCCAATTAATAAACACGGCAACTGATTTAATAACTTGCGCATGAATAACATATTAGCACAGTAACTTATTGATAAATGCAATAAACGTTCAATCTTAACTTTAGAGCTTTCGTGACTGCAGGAATTATTCTTTGGTTCTTTCGGTAAAGTCACGTATAAAGAAAAAATAATAAACTAAATAATAACATACGACGTTTCTATTGCAACACAAGCAATCATCATCAGGTATAATGAAATAGCGACATAAAATCTAACCAGAAAAATTATAGACAGACATATAAGCAGACAGATATCACCAAGATACACACAGCGGGCAACACAGGTACAGAGACGATCACCCCTCTCTGTACCTGTGTTGCCCGCTGTGTGTATCTTGGTGATATCTGTCTGCTTATATGTCTGTCTATAATTTTTTCTGGTTAGATTTTATGTCGCTATTTCATTATACCTGATGATGATTGCTTGTGTTGCAATCGAAACGTCGTATGTTATTATTTAATTTATTATTTTTTCTTTATACGTGACTTTACCGAAAGAACCAAAGAATAGAGCAATAAACGTTCTTAATTTGATGTTCAGCATATAATTAACGCGTTCGTTATGCAATGATAAACACACCCATTCGTAAACAAACACATGCTTAACTCATTAACACGTTAGGAACTCATGCAATTATGAACACACAAACCCAGCAATACTTGGTGCACATTAATAACGTACAGCAATAACAATAATGACAGTATATGTACATATTGATGAAGTTATGTGCACTTTAATTACTTTTACACACGCTATTTACTTATGCATAACTCCTATAAATGACCACAAAGGTTTATTGTTATTTGAAATTGCTCGCTTCCCTCCCGCCTAAGGAATGTGGAATTTCCGTTGCCGGCTCAACGGGATATGATCACTAACCCCATGCTCGATTGAGCGGGAAGCTACTGGGACTTCCGAAAAGCATGAAGGTTAACAGTAAACACGTGGGCCAGGGTTAGGCGAGATGTTAACTACCTCGCCTGGTGTGCAGGAGGTCGTGGGTTCGATCCCGACCCTGACGCCTGCTGCTGTATATTTGGAGTTTGCATGTCTGGCCATGTCTCGCACCCCCAGAAAGGGCATCTCACACCCCCAGGGGGTGCGTGCACCC